TAAGGAAGGAAGGGCAGGCACACTCCACACCCATTAGGATCTTAAGGGAGTACTGAGTGGTCTGGGTGGAGGGCTAGGGTTCAGTGCCAGGCCCCTCTGACTCAGACACCCCAAGCTGAATTCCCAGTAGCAGGCACTCAGCCATGAGTTAAAGGATCATAACCCACCTTTACTGGGTGTTTGGAGTCCCCACCTCTCAATTCATTTAATTCTCACAAAAACACCCCTATGAGAAAGCAGCAATTATGATCCACATTTTATAGATGGGGAAACTGAGTCACAGAGGCTTTAAATCACTTGGGGAAACTGAGTCACAGAGGCTTTAAATCACTCGCCCGGGTCCTGTAGCTTTGAATGGTAAGTGGCAGCACTGGAGTTTCGCCCTCGGCAGGCTGGTTCTGGAGTCCACACTCCCAACCCTTCCCAATCCCTGCCTGGGCGGCTTCGGCCAAAGAGACACCAGCTGATGGCCCTCAGAGACACCAGCCACCAAGACCTCCCTAGGGGTCTTAGCATCCCTAATGTTCCTGCTACTCAAGCTCAGCCTTCCAGACCCCCAGCCCCTCCTTCTGCTTCCGGCAGGCATCTCCTTCCGTGAGCAGCAGATGGCGGAACAGGAGCCGGTGTATCCACCCAAGACGCTTCACAACAGGGACTTTCCGGTTCCCACCCCTGCTGCTCTCTGCCTGGGAATGGCAACATCTGGAAGGGTGCAGGAAGATGACTGAGCCAGGATATGCAAAGGAAATGAAAACGGGAGCACCTGCAAGGATTTTGTTTACTATTCCACAAGTTTCACTTTCTTTCTTTAGACAGGGAGTTTCAAATTCCATCTCCTTCAGTCTTCGGGTCCTCCCACCCTGGTGTGAAGACTCTCCCTCAAGTCCCCCAGGTGTGGGACCATTTGCGTTACGTTTCACAAAACATAACTGTGACATCACATCAGGACACTCCCAAGGCTCACCATCCGACTAGGGTCCGTAAACTGTTCATCTCCCTCTTGAACTTGGCAGCTCTTTTTGTGGCTCTTACACATTAGCCCATCTTCTCAAGCTCCTGACCAAGGCTTCACTCCTCTCATTCTTGGCAGGTGACAATGCATTTGCTAAGCTAAGCAGCTGGCAGCCTTGACTGCTACCTCCCCCACCACAAATGCATCTTCATCTGCAGTGTTAGAGGGTGATGTATCTCTTTCCTCTTCAAGGCCACCCCCTCCAACTGTGTGTGCTCTCCTCCTATCTCCTTTTTGACCTTGCCCACCCCTATTCTCTTGGTCTATAAATATGCTAAAGTCATTTCTATCCTTTATTTTTTTAAATTTATTTATTTATTTATTTTTATTTTTATTTATTTACTTTTTTGAGACAGAGTCTTGCTCTGTCACCCAGACTGGAGTGCAGTGGCACAATCTTGGCTCACTGCAACCTCTGCCTCCCGGATTCAAGCGATTCTCCTGCCTCAGCCTCCCGAGTAGCTGGAACTACAGGGGCCTGCCACCATGCCTGGCTAATTTTTGTGTTTTTAGTAGAGACAGGGTTTCACCAAGTTGACCAGGCTGCTCTCGAACTCTTGACCTCAGGTCATCCGCTTGCCTCAACCTCCCAAAGTGCTGGGATTACAGGTACGAGCCACTGCGCCTGGCCACCTTTTCTATCTTTTAAAAAATTATGGTCCTCCCTTCCCTGCCCTCAGCTACCACTTTTATCTGTTTGCTACCACGCTATCTGTTTTCAGCCCTTCTCTGTGCCTTCTGGGCAGTGGTTGTCTCTTGCTCTCCTCCCATCTACTCCCTAGTCTGGGGCAATCTGGAATTGCCCTGGAATTCATTTCAATCTGGAATTGAAATGAAACCCATCCCTGTTTCATTTAAACTGCTCTGTCCACAAATGTCCTGCCAAATGTCAACTGCAAGAGACACCCCGCATTCATTTTGTTTGTTTGTTTGTTTGTTTGTTTGTTTGTTTTTCCAGACAGGGTCTTACTCTGTCACCCAGGCTGGAGTGGCATGATCATGGCTCACCGCAGCCTCAACCTCCGGGGCTCAGGTGATCCTCCCTCCACCTCCTGGATAACTGAGACTACAGGTGTGTGCCATCCACTCCCAGCTAGTTTGTATGTATGTATATATGTATTGTAGAGATCAGGTTTTACGCTGTTGCTCAGGCTGGTCTGGAACTCCTGGGCTCAAGCGATCTGGCCACCTCAGCCTCCCAAAATGTTGGGATTTGCAGCTCTATAAAAGAGGGCCAGTCTGCCTGCTCCCCTTTTTTTGTTATATCTGCAACATTTCACACTGCTCACCTCTCCCTTCTTGATGGCTCTTCCTGGGTTTCTGGAACATGACTCTATTCTAGTTCTTATTCTTCATCTGATAGCTATTTCTTGGTCTTCTTTGCCGGCTCCTCAAGCTGCCCAGTAAACGTGTGTGTTCTGCAAGAGTTCACTCTTTTTTTTTTTCTTTCAATACTTTAAGTTCTAGGGTACATGTGCACAATGTGCAGGTTTGATACAAGTTGGTTTGCTGCATCCCTCAGCTTGTCATTTACATCAGGCATTTCTCCTAATGCTATCCCTCCCCCTATGACAGGCCTTGGTGTGTGATGTTCCCCGCCCTGTATCCATGTGTTCTCAGTGTTCAATTCCTACCTATGAGTGAGAACATGCAGTATTTGATTTTCTGTCCTTGTGATAGTTTGCTGAGAATGGTTTCCAGCTTCATCCATGTCCCTGCAAAGGACATGAAAGAATTCACTCTTAGTCCATCTCTCTTCTCATTCTTCGTGCTCTTCAAGCTGACCTCACTCATCCCATCATGGTGAACCACCCTTATATGTTGATGATGTCCAAGTCTCTCCTTTCCAGCTCCACTTACTCTCCAATCTTCTAGATGACTGCTGTGCAATAGAACTTGCTGTAATGATGAAAATGTTCTATAAACTGAGCTGTCCAATATCGTAGCCACTAGCCACATGTGGTTACTGAGCACTTGAAATGTGGCTAATGGCCAGGCATGGTGACTCACACCTATAATCCCAGCACTTTGGGAGGTTGAAGTGAGAGCCCGGAAGTAGAGACCAGCCTGGGCAACATAGTGAGACCTCATCTCTATATATTAAAAAAAAAAAAAAAGAAAGAAATGTGGCTAGTGTGTTTAAGGAACTGAGTTTTAGATGTTATTTAATTTTAATTTTAATAGCTACAGGGCCAGCTCACGCCTGTAATCCCAACACTTTGGGAGGCTGAGGCAGGTGGATCACGAAGTCAGGAGTTCGAGACCACCCTGGCCAACATGGTGAAACCTCATCTGTCCTAAAAATACAAAAATTAGCTGGGCACGGTGGTGGGTGCCTGTGAGCCCAGCTACTCAGGAGACTGAGGCAGGAGAATTGCTTGAACCCTGGAGGCAGGGGTTGCAGTAAACCGAGATTGCACCACTGCATTTCAGCCTGGGATACAGAACAAGACTCCGTCTCAAAGAAAACAAAAAAATTAAAAAATTAAAAAATCAATAGCTACAAGTGGCTAGTGGCTACTGTATTGGACAGTACAGTTGTAGACCTACATTGCCAACTGCCTGTGGACATCTTGATTAGGATGTCTCTCTGGCTCCTCAACAAGTCCCAAACTAAGCTTATTAGCATCACACTCTCCCCTACCTTCGCCTCCATGCCCATTAGCAAAATGAAAACCTTCTCTTTCTCTTGATTTCCCTTCCTGAATTGACAGCATCAACACTCATGCCTTTACCCAAAGCCTAAACTTCTAGACTTCCAGGCTCTTCCTTTTCACTCATCTTCTATCATTATGTGGTCAATTCTCCCTCCTAAATTTCTTGTAGCTCCATCCTTACCTTTCCAAACCTTCTCAAAGGCTTGAGTTCAGAATCAAAGCTTCTCTTGTCAGGCTATTACCAATTCCCTGCACCCAGCCTCTGCCAAGCCACCAGCAGACCTCTGAGCTGGACAGCCTTCCTTTGCTTCTCCAGATGCCCTCTCCATCTCCACCCTCTCCATCCTGATGCCCTAGTAGCTGGCTTCTACAGACTCTGTCACCTGGACTTCTTTGCTCTTGGACTTCCAACTAGTTCAGGAAGATTGGAAGGTGGGAAGAGGTTGGTGTATATAACCCCTGAGCTCCTAGGGTTGTCAGTGGCTGCCTTGCTCTACCGAAGCGCATGTCCATGAGGTGGCCACTGGATTCTGGTTCTCACTCTTTTCACTTGCTGCTTCCAGCCTAGATGCAGTAAGAGTTCCCTGCTGTGGTTCTGCTGGGGCACTGAGCCGCCCTTTGTTGTTTCCCTAATCACTTCTCCATCCCCCTGCACACCACCCCCCAACTGTTTTGTTTTTTGTTTATTTGTTTTTTTTTTTTGACACAGGATCTCACTCTTGCCTAGGCTAGAGTACAGTTGCCCAATCATGGCTCACTGTAGCCTCGACCCCCTGGGTTCAAGTGATCCTTCCAACTCAGCCTCCCAAGTAGCTGGGACAACAGGTGTGTACCACAACACCCAGGTCAGTTTTTTTGTTCTCGTTTTAATTTTTAGAGATGAGGGTCTCACTATGTTTCCCAGGCTGGTCTCGAACTCCAGGGCTCAAGCAATCCTCCCACCTTGGCCTTCTAAAGTTAGAATTACAGGCGCGAGCCACTTTGCCCAGCCTTTCTCAAACCTTTATTCATGGTCCATTTATTAAACTCTCCTTGGTTGTCCAGATTGAGTGTGTTATCCGTTTCTTCTGGGACTTAATTGATATTTCTAAGCTTTGAAATGCCTCCTCGTCATCCACAGAAGAAAAACAAAGCCTGTACTTACTTGAAGAGCACCTGAAGTCACTTATGATCTGTTTCCTGCCTGCTCTTTCCACTTCATCTCCCACCTCTCCTTCTCTTGCACTTTATAGTCCTATAATGCCAGGTTGCTTATATGGCTAGAAGGGGCCCTATTGTTTCCCACCTCCATGCCTATGCCTGCCAAACTCTTGCTTAACCTTTAAAACCATTCTCCAGATGTTGCCTCCTCTGGGAAGTCCCCCAGGCCTTCCTTTCTACTTTTACTGTATTTTGTAGATATTTCCATTATTTATGACATCATGATATATTATAATTTCTTGTTTAGGTCTGTATCGTCTTTTCTGCCCAGAGAGTGCCTCTTAAGGAAAGGACTAGGCCAGATGTGGTGGCTGACACCTGTAATTCTAGTGCTTTGGGAGGCTGAGGCAGAAGGTTCACTTGAGGCCAGGAGTTCAAGACTAAGCTCAGCAACGTAGTGAGATTCCACCTCTACAATAAAATTTAAAAATTAGCTGGGCAGGGTGTCATACACCTGCAGCCCCAGCTACTCGAGAAGCTGAGACAGGAGGATCACTTCAGCCCAAGAGTTTGAGGCTACAGGGCTACAGTAAGCCATAATCACACCACTGCACTCTAGCCCAGGTAAGAGAGTGAGACCTTATCTCTTACCAAAAAAAAAAAAAAAAAAAAAAAAGTAAGGCTATAAATATAAATAAATAAATAAATATATTTAACAAAATATTTATTGATCCTGGCATTCTAGGTGCTAGATAGCTAGAGATATCAGTAGTGACCCCTTTCTACAAGCACTATGAGAGAAGCACGATTGTCCCTATCTTAGAGGACACCCAGAAGGCCGAGGCTCCCGTGATGTGCCAGGTTCAGAAAACTGCCAAGAGGTTTGGATTTGCTGTGAAACCAAGTCCTTCTAGCTGCACAGTTCATACTTTTGGCAACAGTTTTATGTTGCTGCGGGTCTTGCCAAGAATAGTTTTATTAAGACTGGCGTTACAGGTTGAATTGTGACCCCCTCCCATACTCACAAAAGGATCTACTGAAGTCCTGACGCCCACTGCTTCAGAATGGGCCTTATCTGGAAAGAAGGTCTTTACAGAAGTAATCAGGTTAAAATGAGGGTCAGGGCTGGGGGCAGCAGCTTACGCCTGTAATCCCAGCACTTTGGGAGACTGTGGCAGGAGGATCACTTCAGCCTAGGAGTTTGAGACCAACCAGGGCAACACTGTGAGACACTATCTCAATTATATTTATAAATATATATACACACATATATGTACATATTGTTATATATTTATTTACTATATATTTATAGTTTAAATATATTTTATTTAATATATATTTATATAATATATAATAAAATATAAACATAAATATGTTATATATTCATGTATTATATATAAATTTAACATTTATACATAATAGAATATTAAAATAATATTTATATAAGCTATATATTATGTTTATAATATATTAATTATATTAATATGAATATAGTTTATATTAGATTTATAATTTAACATTTATGCATAATAGAATATAAAAATAATATTTATATAAGCTATATATTGTTTATAATATATTAATTATATTAATATGAATACAGTTTATATTAGATTTATAATTTAACATTTATGCATAATAGAATATAAAAATAATATTTATATAAGCTATATATTGTTTATAATATATTAATTATATTAATATGAATATAGTTTATATTAGATTTCTAATTTAACATTTATACATCATATAATATAAAAATAATATTTATATAAGCTATATATTACGTTTATAATATATTAATTATATTAATATGAATATAGTTTATATTAGATTTATAATATTTATTTTTTCATTATATATATGAAAAATAATAAAATGAGGTCAGGGGGCCCTAATCTAATACGATTAGTGTCCTGGTAAACAGGAAATTTGGACATAGAAATACAGAGGGGAGGTGGTGTGAAGATGTGGGGAAGAGAGAGTCATATGAATAGAGATGCCAAGGATGCTGGCCAGCAACTGAAGCTGGAAGAGACAAGGAAGCGTTCTTAACCCAGAGCCATCGGAGAGAGTACGGCCCAGCTGACGCCTTGCATTTAGACTTTGAGGCTCCAGAACTGGGAGATAATAAATGTCTGTTGTTTTAAGCCTCTCAGCTTTTGGTTCTTTGTTATGGCAGCCCCAGGAAACGCATACATCTGGGGAGGCTCAAGCCCCTCCTCGCTGGGAAGCGGGGGTGGGGGGGGGCGTTGGGATCCTAACTGGATGTGGAGTCCCCCTGGGGCTCTACTGGGAGTGCCAAGTGGATCCTGGCAGTCACTGAGTAGGCTTCTTCGCATCATTTTGCTCCAGCATTGACCTGACAACTCAACAATAATTTTTCTTTTTCTTTTTTTCTCAGAGACAGACTCTTGCTATGTTGCCCAGGCTGGTGTTAAATTCCTGGGCTCTTGCTCTGCATATTCTCAGTGCAATAAAAAAAGAAAAAATAAAGTGGCAGTCAACAATTTTATTTTTTGGTGTTTTTTTGTTTTGTTTTGTTTGTTTGTTGGAAACGGAGTCTCACTCTGTCACCCAGGCTGGAATGCGGTGGCATGATCTCAGTTCACTGCAACCTCTGCCTCCTGGGTTCAAGCGATTCTCCTGCCTCAGCCTCCCAAGTAGCTAGGATTACAGGCATGCACCACCACACTTGTCTAATTTTTGTATGTTTAGTAGAAACAGCGTTTTGCCATGTTGGCCAAGCTAGTCTCGAACTCCTGACCTCAGGTGATCTGCCCACCTCGGCCTCCCAAGTGCTGGGATTACAGGCGTGAGCCACTGTGCCTGGAGGCAGTCACTGATTTTAAATTACGCTTCCAATTGACTCCAGTGACCCCATAAGTCTGTGACATGCAGTAATTTGTAAACCTGAGTCTCCTGCCCCAAGGATGTGATCCTCAGCATGCTCAAATTCTCAGCTCCCAGCACAGGGCCTAACACCCCCCAGGTTTCCAGTGCTGGGTACTGAGTCAATAAATTCTGCTCAACTAAGGCACCAGGAGTCCGTGGAGTGCTTGGGATCTCGAAGGGTGTTGAGGAGCCTGGTAGAGCTCTTGTCTCCCTTCCCAAAGGCCAGCCCCCAGGACATATTCCAGTCTCATGCCATGGTCAAAACAAACAAGTCAGGTTTCAGGATGCTCTAGTGGGTTCTACTGACTGTTTCCCAGGGTGAGTCACTGCTCCAGGGAGAGAAGCGGGCTGGGACTCAAGTGCCTGTGCTTTCTTTTTCTTTCTTCTGTCTTTCCAGGAAGCCCTTGGAACAGGATGTAAAAGCAGCACTTTCCATCCAGCCTGACATCCTGCTTCCAGATGCAGAAGGCTGAGCAGGCCACCAGGATCACATGTAAGTGGCTGTGGCCATGATGTTCTAATTTGAAACCCGGACTCCACTAACTTCCATACTCATCCCTTGCTCTCAGCCCTCTCCCTCCCCTCTCCAGGTCCTCAGGATGATCTGAAATATATATTACACTTTTCTTCCTCACTAGATGTCAACATGTTGGAAAGCAGGGACCTTGATATATTAATCCTTAGGGCCTTGGGTTCTGCTGTAGTTAAGACGCAACAAATGTTGAGTAAAATGAATTTTAAAAACAACTTGTTGCCAGGCGTGGTGGCTCATGCCTGTAATCCCAGCACTTTGGGAGGCCGAGGCACCTGAGGTCAGGAGTTCGAGACCAGCCTGTGCAACATGATGAAACCCTGTCTCTACTAAAAATACAAAAATCAGCCTGGCGTATTGGCGGCACCTGTAGTCCCAGCTACTTGGGAGGCTGAGGCAAGAGAATCACTTAAACTCGGGAGGCAGAGGTTGCAGTGAACCGAGATTGTGCCATTGCACTTCAGTCTGGACGACAGAGCAAAACTCTATCTCAAAAAAAAAAAAAAAAACCAAACAAACAAAAAAACTGGGGAGAGTCAGGCATACTGCTGCATTCCTGTGGTCTCAGCTACTTGGGAGGCTGAGATGGGAGGATAGCTTGAGCCCTGGAATTTTTTTTTCTCTTTTCTTTTATTATTATTTATTTGTTTGTTTTTTAATTGAAACAGAGTCTCACTCTGTCACCCAAGCTGGAGTGCAGTGGCACAATCATAGCTTACTAGAGCCCAGCCTCGATCTCCCTGGGCACAAGTGATCCTCCTCCCTCAGCCTCCCAAATAGCTGGGACTACAGGCATGTACCACCATCCCCAGCTAATTTTCGTATTTTTTTTTTTTTTGTAGAGACAGGGTTTCACCATGTTGCTCAGGCTGGTCTTGAACTCCTGCCCTCAAGTGATCCTCCTGCCTTGGCCTCCCAAAGTGCTGGGATTATAGGCGTGAGCCACTGTGCCCTGCCATATTTTTTTTCTTTTTTTATTGGACTGAGAATATGTAGAGCAAGAGCCCAGGAGTTTAAGGCCAGCCTGGGCAACACAGCAACAGTCTATCTCTAAGAAAAAAAGAAAGAAAGATAAAAAAGCAATTGTGGAGTTTTCAGGTCAATACTGGAGCAAAATGACACAAAGAAGCCTACTCCGCTGGGGTTTGCTGGGCACCCATCCCATCGGGGTCCCAGTGGCACCACCCAGCTAGTGATCCTCTTAAACAAGGACTCTACAATTTTACAGTCTCCTCATCCTCTTTTTTCCAAGGTTCTCAAAGCTCCAACTCCCAGAGTAGGAGACAGGAGCTGAAATGAGCTGATGTTTATGTGGAACATGACTGACTGTGCTGTTAAGTGAAATAGATGCCAGAGGTTTTTGCAAGTGTCTGACTAATAAAGGGAATGGGACTTTTAATATCCCTGGGTCCATGATGAGAGCTGAGCACCCCAGAATGGGCAGGATAGGAGCATAGAGGATCAAGGAACATGAGTGACCACAAGTCAAATCCCGTGGCCCAACCCCGGCCTCACATTTGGTAGCAGCCTGTTTGGGTAAACCCATCGGGGTACGATTCCTCATGACTCTAGCTAAGAAAATACATTTATTCATGCAGTATTATTATCTGGGCCTCTGTGTGGCAGCAGTTCTGCTTGTGCCAGGGAAAAGCTTTTAAGATTTTTCCATGTGAAAAGTGCCACAATGGCACTATCATTCAACCTGTTGAATGACAGTACTGAGCTAGGGGATGCACCTGATCATCAGGCATCTATTGAGCCCTTATTGGGAACATCATTATTATTATTATTTTGTGACAGAGTGTCACTCTCGTTGCCCAGGCTGGAGTGCAATGGCATGATCTCAGATCACTGCAACCTCTGCCTCCTGGGTTCAAGCAAATCTCATGCCTCAGCCTCCCGAGTAGCTGGGATCACAGGTGTGCACCACCACACTCAGCTAATTTTTGTATTTTTAGTAGAGACAGGATTTCACCATGCTGTCCAAACTGGTCTCAAACTCCTGACCTCAAGTAATCTGCCCGCCTCCATCTCCCAAAGTGCTGGGATTATAGGTGTGAGCCACCACGCCTGGCCAGGGCCCTTATTATTAAGCCTTTGGGAAACCTGGTGGTCCCTTGTTTCTGGGAGGTCATCTTATTGATACCGAACTTACTGCAGACGCCCAGTTGGTATAGTGCACTATAGCCCAGAGCTCCAGGACTCAAGCAATCCTCCTGCCTCAGCCTCCCAAGCAGCTGGGACTACAGTTGCATGCCACTAGACCTGTATGCATGAATACCAGGCATAAAGTCACATTGGGGCCACCCTGGAGGCCGGCTACTGCTAGTAGTGAATTGTGTCTAGAGACCATGAGCTCCACAGGAGTTCAGATGAAAGGGAGAGAAATGAAAGTTAGAGGGCTCAGGGCATGTTCAGATTATTATCTGGTCTATAAGCTAGATCTTGAGGGAATGTCTTTCCTCATTTATTTCTCTACATATTCCTCCCTTCAGCAAAACTCAGAAAGAAAGGAGGATGGAGGACAGGACTCACAGTCAGAAGGGCAAGAAGGAAGCAGGGAAATGTGACGAAACGTTTAAAAATAGTCGAGCAGGGCCTGATTTAGGGGCGGTGAAGAGTAGACTGACATTGAAAAGACTAAAAAGTTTATAAATAATGAAGATGAGGCCAGGCGCAGTGGCTCACACCTGTAATCCCAGCACTTTGGGAGGCTGAGATGGGCGGATCACTTGAGGTCAGGAGCTCGAGACGAGCCTGGCTAACGTGGTAAAACCCCGTCTCTACTAAAAAAAAAAAATACAAAAAATTAGCCTGGCATGGCGGCACACTCCTATAATTTCAGCTACTTGGGAGGCTGAGGCAAGAGAATCATTTGAACCCGGGAGGCGGAGGTTGAAGTGCGCTGAGATCTCGCCACTGCACTCCAGCTTAGGGGACAGAGCAAGACTCTGTCTCAAAAAAAAAAAAAAAAAAAGGATATAATAAGATGAAAGAAGCTGAAAGAAGTAGTGGACCCATCAAGGAGGGGCCAAAAAGCCAAGAAAACACATTTTAGCTAGCTGGAGTAGAAAGTAAATGTTCAGGGCCTAAGGCTTTGAAAACAAATTCCTGCAGGTTTGTTTAAAGTGGAGGATTTGAGGCTGGGTAATGGATGGTGGGGGGTGTGGGGGTGGAGGGGTGGGGGTGTGGGGGATTGTGGGAGGGTGTGTGGGGGGTGGAGATGAGTTGGGGGGTTGCTGGGTGGTGTGTGTAAAACTTCTTCTCTAAAGGACATTTGCTTCTACACAAGTTAAGTCCTGATGGGGTCAAGGCAATACCAGGAAAGGGACTTTAATAGCTTCCTTATATCAGAATAGGAAGCACAAGTTGATAAGAAGTTGGAATCCAGTATCCCAACTGGAGGGGAAGCCTCCCCAAAGGAAAAGCTGCAGTGGGAGATAGTCTGTGTTTACACAGCACGCCTGCAATGTCTGCAGTTTACACAAACCGTATCCTCGGGCCAGCCTGAAGATAGAACTGCCTGACCTAGAAAAGCCTGGGTCTGGGAGCGGTGCCCAGCCAGCTCCGGGAGGAAGCGTCTGCCCAGAACCACCCAGCCAGGGGGCTCTAAGCTGCTGGGACATGCTGGGGGCTAGGGGAGAGGGGCGGGGGCTGCCCGCACACTGCTGGCTCCATACTGCAGGCTGGGCAGAGCCATGACAATACCTTAAGTATCCCCTTCATGTCCTGCACAGAATTACAAGTTCAGTTCTTCCAGTTTATTCCAATGAGAAATAGGGAGTACCTCATAACACCCCCCCCACTTCATGACTTTGGTCCACTCATCAAAACCGTAATAAAACCTAATGTTTTGTAGACCAGTGTGGGGTTCCCCGGTGCTCCCAATAGGCCGCTCAGTGGTTTGCAGATCTGCGCTGCTTAAAGAAGTGGACATGAGTCAGGCTTTTATGGGTTTGAATTCTTTGAGTATGACCTCGGACAAGTGCATTTTACTGCTCAGAGCTCAGTTTTTCCATCTGAGCAATGAGGAGAAGGCTAATAGATGAGAAGCCCTTGAACGGTGCCCAGCATGCAGCAAGAGCTCAGCAGACAACAAGTGCCATCATTATCTTATTATCTTTGCATTATTATTCCACATCTCTGTGTCTTTACCCCACATGGTTCCCCAGCCCAGAATGCCCTCCTTCCCCTCTGTTGCCTAGGCAGGAATGCAATGACCCCATCTCGGCTGCCTCCCAGGTTAGAGGGATCCTCGGCCTCCCAAGTAGCTGGGACTACAGGTGCATGCCACCATGCACAGCTAATTTTTGTATTTTTAATAGAGATGGGGTTTTGCAGTGTTAGCCAGGCTGGTCTCCAACTCCTGACCTCAGGTGATCCACCCGCCTCGGCCTCCCAAAGTGCTGGGATTACAGGCATAAGCCACCATGCCCAGCCTCTTCCTCTTCTTTTGAAACTCATGCCAAGCTCCAGGCTGGTTCTTACTCTCAGAGTCCTGGGCAGCTGTCCCTGCCCCCATCATGGCACAGAGCACTTAGCACTGTAGGAGCTGGGTGACACATTTGCCTCGCCCAGGTTGACTGTGATCACCCCATAAACTCTTACTCCCAGCAGCTAGCCCAGTGCCCGACCCAGGGCGGGCACTCCTCACATGTCTGAACAAGGCAGTGTTAGGTTCACATAACAGAAAGCGCAGTCCATGGGTCAGTCGCTGAGTGCCAGCAGCCTGAGTCCCAAGAGGCTTGCTTTTGACCCGGACTGTCTGCGCGCGGTGACTGGACATTGCGAGACTCAGGGGAGTGGAAGATTAGGGAAGCTGAGGGGAAGGGCAGGAGCAATTTCCCCAGCAGAGCCTCTTCCATGAGGCACAGCAAAACCTAAATTCACATTAGAAGTAATGCATTTTCCAGGGAAGGTGTCGGGGTAAGAAATAGCAAGCCAGAGAGCCCAGGGGTTGC